CCAGGTCTGAACCAGGTCTGAACCAGGTCTGAACCAGGTCTGAACCAGGTCTGAACCAAGTCTGAACCAGGTCTGAACCAAGTCTGAACCAAGTCTGAACCAGGTCTGAACCAGGTCTGAACCAGGTCTGAACCAGGTCTGAAATTGATCTGAACTAGGACTGACCCAGGTCTGAACCAGGTCTAAAGGAGGTGTGGGCCCTGATATTATGCCTGACATTGGTCCTGGTACAAAGACAGAGGCAGAAGTGTTGTGTTCTCCGTCTGCAGTTTGAACCAGAGCAGAAACAAACTGTAGAATGAATAAAAACAGTAAAAAAGGCTTTAAAAGTGTGTTTAACCCTTTAAGCACCAGAGGTTTTTTCTAATGTGCTCGATTTAGGAATTTTAATTTCAAAAGTCTATAACTTAAAAGTGATAAGAGATAAAGGCTTTCTGTAAATTAGAAAAATATTAAGGATGGCCCAAAGTTTATGAAGGGAATATATGTACCCATCTAATTTGCATATTATGATGTCATATGGCGTTGGAAATTTCTGGATTTTTTTGAACACTCAAACAAAACTCACACTGTAACATATTAAATGTTCAGGGAAATAGAAAACAATGCAAATCATGACTGTCCAGTCTGAGTGTCACCGCGACTCTGCCTTCTGCTGTCTCCCCTGCTCTCTCCATCTTCTCCCCTGCTCTCTCCATCTTCTCCCCCGCTCTCTCTCTCGTCTCCCCTGCTCTCTCTCGTCTCCCCTGCTCTCTCTCTCTCTCGTCTACTAGGTACTATTAGCGAAGACTTTAGCAGAGGCTGGAGTCGCGGCACGACGCCCCCACGCGACTTCCAAGCTTGTTCTTTGCAAATCTAACCTGTCTTCAAACCTCCCCATTCCAGCCCTGACCTAGAGAAACACTGGCCCTCATTTATGAAACTTGCGTACGGCCAAATCAGGTTATAAATGAGGCAAAGCTTTTATTTAGTGAATCCAGAACGGTCTCTAACAGAAGGAGAGCTGTTGGTGCATTTAAATGTCTAAAATGTCCTCGTTGTACAAACCTGCTTCAGACTAAAGTGTTTGTGACGCTCAGACCAACACAACATGTTTGTAGTTTGTCCTCTCTCTTTGTCCACAAGGACTTTTTACATTGAGGCACAAAAAGGCGGTGAAGAGATGGTTTGGCAGAGCATTAATATGTGACCAGTGTCAACACCATCGTCACCTGTGGCTCCACATGGTTTAAACACCAGAGCAACCATGACTCTGACCACAGGGGGCGCTACACTTCAGGAACTGTGGGAGAAAAGTCTTCACATGGACTCTTGTTCTGATTCCAGCCTCTACCACATGGAGCCACGAGGATCTGGACCAGGGTCTAAACCCAGACCTGGACCTAGACCTGGACCAAGACCTGGACCAAGACCTGGACCTGCTCCGAGCTCTGTGTCTCTGAAAAGTGACCGGTCCAAAGGACATGGTCCAGTGTTCAGAGAAGATGGTCCTGAAGATCAGAGGTGAGACTTGAACCCATGTTGTTAAGACAGTTCTGTGTCTCGTCCTTCATCAAAGACTGTGGTTCTGTGGCACTTTGTAAATAAACAGCATGAATGTAGAATCTACTGAAGACACCAGGAGCAGATGGAGGAGGTCAGTGATGAAGGAGGAGGTCAGTGATGGAGGAGGTCAGTGATGGAGGAGGTCAGTGAAGGAGGAGGAGGTCAGTGAAGGAGGAGGTCAGTGATGGAGGAGGTCAGTGATGGAGGAGGTCAGTAAAGGAGGAGGAGGTCAGTGAAGGAGGTCAGTGATGGAGGAGGTCAGTGATGGAGGAGGTGGTCAGTGATGGAGGAGGTCAGTGATGGAGGAGGAGGTCAGTGAAGGAGGAGGTCAGTGATGGAGGAGGTCAGTGATGGAGGAGGTCAGTAAAGGAGGAGGAGGTCAGTGAAGGAGGTCAGTGATGGAGGAGGTCAGTGATGGAGGAGGTGGTCAGTGATGGAGGAGGTCAGTGATGGAGGAGGTCAGTGATGGAGGAGGAGGTCAGTGAAGGAGGAGGAGGTCAGTGATGATGGAGGAGGTCAGTGATGAAGGAGGTCAGTGATGGAGGAGGTCAGTGAAGGAGGAGGTCAGTGAGGGAGGAGGTCAATGATGGAGGAGATCATTGATGACTTTTAGGAGGGCTGTTTTTGTGTTATGCTGTGGCTGAAAACCAGATTGGAAGGTTTCAAATAATAAACAATTGATTCCATATTGCACGATGACGGAACGTTCTAGTGTTTCTGGAGGTTGGAGATGGGTCTGAAGTTGTCTAGATTGGCGGGTTCCAGGCCAGGTTTTTTCAGGAGGGGTGTGATGGTGGAGAGTTTTAGTGTGGGAGGAACAATACCAGAGCTGAGGGAGGAGTTTATGACGGTGCTGATGAATGGTGTGAATGTGGGGATGCAGGTTTTTATCAGGGCAGCGGGATGGGGTCAAGCTTATTTAAGGAGCTTTGTCCCAAAATATTAAAATAAATACAAATCTCAAAAAGAACACAGAAACATAACAAACACTTGGATGTGATTGTTTTCATTGGAAGAACCAGGTCTGAACCAGGTCTGAACCAGGTCTGAACCAGGTCTGAACCAGGTCTGAACCAAGTCTGAACCAAGTCTGAACCAGGTCTGAACCAGGTCTGAACCAGGTCTGAACAAGGTCTGAACAAGGTATGAACCAGGTCTGAACCAGGTCTGAACCAGGTCTGAACCAAGTCTGAACAAAGTCTGAACCAAGTCTGAACCAAGTCTGAACCAAGTCTGAACCAAGTCTGAACCAAGTCTGAACCAAGTCTGAACCAAGTCTGAACCAAGTCTGAACCAAGTCTGAAACAAGTCTGAACCAGGTCTGAACCAGGTCTGAACCAGGTCTGAACCAAGTCTGAACCAGGTCTGAACCAGGTCTGAACCAGGTCTGAACCAGGTCTGAACAAGGTCTGAACAAGGTCTGAACAAGGTCTGAACAAGGTCTGAACCATGTCTGAACCAGGTCTGAACCAAGTCTGAACCGGGTCTGAACCGGGTCTGAACCAGGTCTGAACCAGGTCTGAACCAGGTCTGAACAAGGTCTGAACCAAGTCTGAACCAGGTCTGAACCAGGTCTGAACAAGGTCTGAACAAGGTCTGAACAAGGTCTGAACCAGGTCTGAACCAGGTCTGAACCAGGTCTGAACCAGGTCTGAACCAGGTCTGAACCAGGTCTGAACCAGGTCTGAACCAGGTCTGAACAAGGTCTGAACCAAGTCTGAACCAAGTCTGAACCAAGTCTGAACCAAGTCTGAACCAAGTCTGAACCAAGTCTGAACCAAGTCTGAACCAAGTCTGAACCAAGTCTGAACCAAGTCTGAACCAAGTCTGAACCAAGTCTGAACCAAGTCTGAACCAGGTCTGAACCAGGTCTGAAATTGATCTGAACTAGGACTTACCCAGGTCTGAACCAGGTCTGAACCAGGTTTAAACCAGGTCTGAACAAGGTCTGAACCAGGTTTAAACCAGGTCTGAACCAGGTCTGAACCAGGTCTGAAATTGATCTGAACTAGGACTGACCCAGGTCTGAACCAGGTCTGAACCAGGTTTAAACCAGGTCTGAACCAGGTCTGAACCAGGACTGAAATAGATCTGAACTAGGACTAAACCAGGTCTGACCCAGGTCTAAAGGAGGTGTGGGCCCTGATATTGTGCCTGACATTGGTCCTGGTACAAAGACAGAGGCAGAAGTGTTGTGTTCTCCGTCTGCAGTTTGAACCAGAGCAGAAACAAACTGTAGAATGAATAAAAACAGTAAAAAAGGCTTTAAAAGGTGTGTTTAACCCTTTAAGCACCAGAGGTTTTTTCTAATGTGCTCAATTTGGGAATTTTAATTTCAAAAGTCTATAACTTAAAAGTGATAAGAGATAAAGGCTTTCTGTAAATTAGAAAAATATTAAGGATGGCCCAAAGTTTATGAAGGGAATATATGTACCCATCTAATTTGCATATTATGATGTCATATGGCGTTGGAAATTTCTGGATTTTTTTGAACAGTCAAACAAAACTCACACTGTAACATATTAAATGTTCAGGGAAATAGAAAACAATGCAAATCATGACTGTCCAGTCTGAGTGTCACCGCGACTCTGCCTTCTGCTGTCTCCCCTTCTCTCTCCATCTTCTCCCCTGCTCTCTCCATCTTCTCCCCTGCTCTCTCCATCTTCTCCCCTGCTCTCTCTCTCGTCTCCCCTGCTCTCTCTCTCGTCTCCCCTGCTCTCTCTCTCGTCTCCCCTGCTCTCTCTCTCGTCTACTAGGTACTATTAGCGAAGACTTTAGCAGAGGCTGGAGTCGCGGCACGACGCCCCCACGCGACTTCCAAGCTTGTTCTTCGCAAATCTAACCTGTCTTCAAACCTCCCCATTCCAGCCCTGACCCAGAGAAACACTGGCCCTCATTTATGAAACTTGCGTACGGCCAAATCAGGTTATAAATGAGGCAAAGCTTTTATTTAGTGAATCCAGAACGGTCTCTAACAGAAGGAGAGCTGTTGGTGCATTTAAATGTCTAAAATGTCCTCGTTGTACAAACCTGCTTCAGACTAAAGTGTTTGTGACGCTCAGACCAACACAACATGTTTGTAGTTTGTCCTCTCTCTTTGTCCACAAGGACTTTTTACATTGAGGCACAAAAAGGCGGTGAAGAGATGGTTTGGCAGAGCATTAATATGTGACCAGTGTCAACACCATCGTCACCTGTGGCTCCACATGGTTTAAACACCAGAGCAACCATGACTCTGACCACAGGGGGCGCTACACTTCAGGAACTGTGGGAGAAAAGTCTTCACATGGACTCTTGTTCTGATTCCAGCCTCTACCACATGGAGCCACGAGGATCTGGACCAGGGTCTAAACCCAGACCTGGACCTAGACCTGGACCAAGACCTGGACCTGCTCCCAGCTCTGTGTCTCTGAAAAGTGACCTGTCCAAAGACTATGGTCCTGACTTCAGAGAAGATGGTCCTGAAGATCAGAGGTGAGACTTGAACCCATGTTGTTAAGACAGTTCTGTGTCTCGTCCTTCATCAAAGACTGTGGTTCTGTGGCACTTTGTAAATAAACAGCATGAATGTAGAATCTACTGAAGACACCAGGAGCAGATGAAGGAGGTCAGTGATGGAGGAGGTCAGTGATGGAGGAGGTCAGTGAAGGAGGAGGTCAGTGATGGAGGAGGTCAGTGATGATGGAGGAGGTCAGTGATGATGGAGGTCAGTGAAGGAGGAGGTCAGTGTTGGAGGAGGTCAGTGATGGAGGAGGTCAGTGATGGAGGAGGAGGTCAGTGACGGAGGAGGAGGTCAGTGACGGAGGAGGTCAGTGATGGAGGAGGTCAGTGATGAAGGAGGTCAGTGATGGAGGAGGTCAGTGATGGAGGAGGAGGTCAGTGACGGAGGAGGAGGTCAGTGATGGAGGAGGTCAGTGATGGAGGAGGTCAGTGATGGAGGAGGTCAGTGATGGAGAGGAGTGCAGTGACGGAGGAGGAGGTCAGTGACGGAGGAGGAGGTCAGTGACGGAGGAGGAGGTCAGTGACGGAGGAGGAGGTCAGTGATGGAGGAGGTCAGTGATGAAGGAGGTCAGTGATGGAGGAGGTCAGTGATGATGGAGGAGGTCAGTGAGGTAAGAAGGAGCAGGTTATGGAGGGACTTGTAGGTGAGGAGGAGGACCTTGTGTTGGAGGAGGTGTGGAGCAGGAGCCAGTGGAGTTGTTTGAGGACGGGGATGATGTGTTCTCTGCTCACATTCAATCAAACAGACGTAAAAATAATTAACAAAGTGAGGGACTCTTGTTCTGATTCAGACTCTACAACATGGAGCCACGAGGATCTGGCCCCGGGTCTAAACCCAGACCTGGACCTGGACCTGGACCTGGACCTGGACCTGGATCTGGACCTGCTCCCAGCTCTGTGTGGACCTCTAAAAAGTGACTGGTCCAAAGACTATGGTCCTGACTTCAGAGAAGATGGTCCTGAAGATCAGAGGTGGGACTTGAACCCATGTTGTTAAGACAGTTCTGTGTCTCGTCCTTCATCAGACAGT